AGATCGTTATTATACAAATTATCATGATCAGCGTCTCTATCTTTATCATCTACCTATGGGTTCCCTCGAGGGAACGGGTTTCTCAATACCACTCTCCACCAAACAATATCTATAGCAAACTCCAAATTAACCATTCTTCCATCTCGAAGCAATCTCTTAATATTATTTGGATTTCATGTTTGGTATGCAATACATAAGAAAAAGAAAACTAAGAATTGGTTGTACATTTAATTGATAGGTTCATCATCACAACTACTACTACTATTATTATTATTTTGTATAAATGTTTTCATGCATGCTGCATTTCCTTGTTGCAAATTGAAATCTAAAAGCATCAAGTATGTGTCAAGTAACTACATGCATCAAAATCTGTAACACATGAACTGGCCTAGAAAGGATCACTTGGGGACAAGCCTCTATGCTGTACGTCTTTCTGTTCAGTGTAGTTCTTCCATCTTGCAACAACATAATAAACTAGATGGAACTTCGACTGCGCACAGTCGAAAATGATGCCTCCGTCATAGAGCAATTTAACAAACCAAAACAGAAGAAATTTTTCAAATTCAAGTTCAATTGTAATCCATTAACAGGTTCTCAGAGTATCGTGATTACTCATATACAATATGACCCTTTGATCTTTGACCTCATGACCCTAAAATCTACTCAGTTCATTGGCTCTGCAAGATGTCCTGAGTAAAATAGTAATCCATCTGTCAGTTCTAATGAGAATGCATTCAAAAGCTATTTTTGCATACATGAGCCCATGACCTTTGACCTTATGAACCAAGAATTTACTCAGTTCATTGGCTCTGCAAGATAAATAAATAATCTAAGTCTGGCAGGAATCCATCAATCTGGTCTAATGATAATACGATCACAAGCTATGTTTGCATACATAATGAGCCGCATGACCTTTGACCTTGACCCCAAAATCTTATCAGTTCATCAGCTCTGCAAGTAACATACATGACCTAAGTTTGGCAGGAATCCATCAATCGGTTCTTGAGATAACGCGATCACAAGCTGTTTTTGCATACATAATGAGCCCTGTGACATTTGACCTTGACCTTGTGACCCCAAAATCTAATCAGTTCATCGGCTCTGCAAGATACATATATGACCAAAGTTTGGCAGGAATCCATCAATTAGTTCTTCAGATAACGCGATCATGAGAACGGACGTACGTATGTACGTACGTATGGACGGACGGACAACCCGAAAACATAATGCCTCCGGCTACTTCGTAACGGAGGCATAAAAACTTACAATAACACAATGAATCCATTTACCCAGTTTAGCCACATCAACATTACTACTGCTCTTCCTGGAGGCCCTGCAGATATAATGTGTTATTGCAATGAAAATCTTATATGGTCTAACAAGCTGGGTGCCCCACACAGACTGGGACCACTTTCAATATCTTTATTAACTTTGGTCACCTAGTTCTAGGTCCCGTTGGCTGTTGAGCCCTGTTACCATGGTAGTTGCCATTGATGGCAAAGTTACCATCATTGGTAAGTTCTATGCAGCAGGGCCCACATGTACAATCCAGAAGTTTTTGTTTGTTATCTTAATGCAGGTCTGAACTCCTGGAATCACCGTGGCAGCGGGATTCTTTCACTTGTCCTCCTCATAACTTACCTCTCTCTCATTCTCTATGACGCTGGCTATTATGCAAGCATCTATTGGGGCAAGAAGGAAGACCTCATCCGATACATCAGCTACATGGCATACCTCGTCTTTGCGGCAAGCGTCCCAGCAATCTGTCTCTTTGGCCTCCTTCGAAATGCTGTGACAAACCCTGCTCCACGTTTCACCCAGTGGCCGCGCGTCCTGGACATCAGATACGTGGTGCGTAGACTGCAGTATCTGGACCTTGCTGACCGCGGGCTTCCTTGCAAGCCTTTCCTGGTGGCCTGCACGGTGTTCCCGCTCTTCATCGCCTTCTACAAATTCATGTTCTACACTGTCCTTCTGAAAGACAGCATATATGTTCATTTACACAGCTATTTGGCATGCATAATAGCTGCCATTGGTCTCACATTCTATGGTGTCTTCTCCTATTTCATATACCTCATGAGGATCTCGTTTGACTCTCATCTTAAACTTGACATTGAATTCATACGGAACCACGTTGGTCAGCTGGATGTTTGCCGGTCAAAGATGTCATCGACCGTGCAGGACTTCCTCAATCTGCGACAGCTGGCCAACGGATGGATGGTTATGGTGTTTGGGGTCATTACATGGGCACTTGCAACACAGGTAAGAAATGCACGACTTTCAAGCAAACTTTGTAATATACTATTTATATTCAATAATATATATTTTTATGTCTATTCTGCAACTTGTTCTTCCAAGTCATTGATCTTATGAGCCACCAGTGATAAAACAAGCTTTAAAATAACAAAGGGACCTTACAGCAGCATAAAGGAGTGCCAAGTTGCATATGCTTGATGCAAAAACTGCATCCTTGTGGTAAACCTGCTACCATTGGTTTGGGTGAATGCACCTCTAAAGGTTTGATACTGCACACTGAGACTTTGTCTCGGCTCCCCTTCTTCCTGATAGTATCGTTATCATGAGATGTCTAGTTAGTAAGCTCTTAATGAAATGGTTTAGGAAGATAAGAGACATCTCTGTAGCTGGTACATAAAAATATGCCGGTCTTGTCGCTGGTTTTGAGAAACGGGACCCTGTTCTATTTTAGTAAGTATTCCTGTGAAGAAAACGGCTAAATGTTTGTATTCCAGGTCAATTGATGTGGGTCAAATACCCTCACTTAACATTAATCTTAAAAGTCATTATTTTCAATTCCTTTTCAGCCAATACTGTTACTGTTACGTTCATTCCCTTTCAAAACAGATAACATGGAACTACATGTTGTTCAGTGGCCTCTACTTGGGTCACGGCGGCTCTTTCTCCACCCATTCTTGGACCATCCAGATGTACATCAACGGCCTCATGGCGATGGAGAATGCCATGTTTTTCTTCTTCCCGTGCTTTGCCATCGGTGGCTTCAACATCAACATCGTCTGGATCCACTTCCATTACCGCCTGCTGGAGCTTCGGCGCGCCCGTCACGAGCGTTTCTGGTACCGCCTGCTGCAGTTCCTCAAGGAGCATGACCCCGTCAAAAGCTCCATGCGTGTCACCATGCTCTTCACCCTCATAAGTCTCTTCGTGGCACTCCAGTTTGGTGATCAGAACATCTATTACTTTTACAACAACATTACCGCCTCTGATATCGGACCTGATCACCCCGCCGGCATCTCCGCCGCTCAGGATGAAAGTGGAAACTTTCCACCTTTGATTCTACACTAAACTTTCATCAGCTAAATAACTCATATTATTCACTGTGCATTTCTGGTTATATGCGACCCATATCATTTGCCGTAGTTGTAACGCTGCACTGCAGCACAACCTTTGACACATACATTCACAAGCAGACAACCTGGGCCATCACGACGACTAACTTTCGGAATTGCTTGATTCAGATGTTATATAAAACAAATAATGAATGTTTTTTATTTGATCAAAAGTGTGAATATTTTCATTCGTTCAATAGTGCGAAAATGTTCATTTTTTGAGAGATTAACGTTCTATTAAACTCATAAACATTCATTATTTGAATACTATTCAGTGATAAAAACCTAGAGAATCATAACACATGCATGCAAAGATGAGGCTTTCACATTTGTATAATTTAATAACAAAGTCAAAAGAAGAATATATTTACAAAAATAATACATGTACTAATTATGAACATTAAATTAAAAAATGTTAATTTGTGAACAGTTTAAGATTATCAATTAACACTGTCTAATATTCAGCCACTAAATGTACAAAGACCATGGCATATTGCACTGTATATTCAATAGGCCTTTGGCTGCTCTGAAGTGTGAGATGAGACTCAAATTCATTATTTCTTTTTGGATTGTTGTTCTACTTTAAAGGTACTATGTCCCATTTGCAGGCCAAAAAAATGAAAAAGTTAAATTCCAACTGCATTTGAAAGATAATACTTATTTAGAACTTCCCTAAAAAAGGTGGGGCTTGAAAATGTCTTCAAGTGGGAAAATAATGACTATTAGTTGTAAAGTAATAGGCTTGATTTTCAGACAATTGTACCGAATGGTCATACGTTTTATGCTGCGCAAAGATTCAATCAGTTTAATCTTGGCCATCACAAGAAGTGGGTTATTGATGTAGACAAATGCTCAAGTACCCTTTACAACTCTTTTCATGTATGTTATTACCAAAGAAGAAAAAAAGCCAGTCAGTCACTCAATAGTGTCTGACAGTGAAGTCTAGCAAGTAAACGGGTTTCCTTGCATAATTTGAATATAAGGACACTGCTATCGTTTAAATTTCACAGATAGGACATACATGACATATTCATAATTCCTGCAAAGTTCTACAGAATTTGAGGTTGGTTGCAAAAGGGACATAGTACCTTTTGGCAATAGTCCAAAAATTCTAAATGAATTTTGATGGTTGAAATGTAGGCCTAATAGTCACATTTCTTTCAACTTGTTTTTGTTTGCAAGCAATATTTAGATGTTATCATTATACGTGTATAGTTCCTTTTATTTGTATTTATATATATTTCTAGAATATTGTGTTTATATTGTATTGTATGATGTTTGTAATGTTTTAAATTCTGTAAATTCATTTGATTTGTAATTTAGCCTTTGGCAACATTGAGTGAATAAAATATCTGGAATTGAATCGAAATAGCTTTTCATGAGTTATGGCTATACTAGACAAGGCTCCACTATCAGTTTTATGAGTGGGTCATCATCATTGTAAAGATAATATTTAGAAAAACAAAAATGTATCAAATCCGGTATCAAATATTATCAGTTATAGAGGTCGGCCACTTTGGTCTCGTAGAGGGTAGGATCAGTAATGAGCAAAAGGACACAGGGAAATAGCCTATAAGTTTGGTGATGTTTAGAAGGGCACTGCCAGCAGTGGTTTGGTCACCACTGCAAAATGCCATCATTGGAAATATCACACAGTCAAAGCCGAGTCAGTAGGTTTATCATTTTTGTTATGTTTAATTCAAAGTAATGGAATGTACATGTAAATATCATAACCTGTAGTTCAATGACATCATGTTTAAATAAAGCTAGTACAACTGTCGTTAAAAGTTAGGCAGGGATGTAAATAATATTTATTTGTTAAAAATCTATTAAACATCCCCCTAAATTGTCATCTGTTGCTAACTGGAAAAAGAATTTCGTATAAATTCCAAACAAAACCTTTATCGTATATATTTTTGCACAGAGGAATAACATCTGCCTGCCTGCTATGATTTCGCTTGGAGTGTGAGTTTTTGTGCTGGCTCACCGTCTTGGCATTTCTGCTTGATGAGCAATTGCAGTGTTGGCGAATTTCCTGTACTGCCTGAGATCGCTTGTATCGCTCGTTGGTGGTTTGGTTCGTCAAAGCTAGGTAGACGTGGTAGAACATGAATGCTGCCACCAGGAGGCTGAGAAGTGCCAGTGACATCATGATGAACACAGGCATGGGTCTTTCCATAAAGAGATGCTGTTGAAATATCCACACATAAATAAAATATAAAGAAGCTGAAAAGCTTACAAACAGGCATATCCCAAGTCTATCCCTTTTACTTGTAGAAGGATTGTTTTTAAAGCCTATCTTTTCTAGTTTGGCCAGGAGGGATTAGCCCTTCCTGCGTGGTCACTGACAGGTGGTTATCGCATCAAATCAGCTCTCAATTAACATAAGAAAAAGAGGATCATGGGGGGTCAACGGTACTGCTAGGGCATTTTAGGCTATATAGAGGGCGCAAGTAGCTACAAGTAGTGCAGTCCTGCTTTAATATGCCACACAAATAATATCCTTGCGCCACATTGCATAAACGGATAGATATACCAATTATTAAGTGCATGTTTCCAGGGCAAAACTAATCTATACAGGTTTTAAAAGGATTGTCATATGGCTAATGTGCAAATTTCATTTTGCCCCCTGACATTTAAAACAAGCGCCAACCAATATTTTGTTTTTTGAGGGGGGGGGGGGGGGGGGTAGAAAGCACTATCAACTAGATGGAACTTCGACTGCGCGCAGTCGAAATGATGCCTCCGTCATAGAGCAATTTTACAAACCAAAACAGAAGAAATTGTTCAAATTCAAGTTCAATTGTAATCCGTTAACAGGTTCTCAGAATATCGTGATTACAAGCAATTTCTCATATACATATATGACCGTTTGATCTTTGACCACATGTTCCTAACATCTACTCAGTTCATTGGCTCTGCAAGATGTCCCGAGTTAAATAGTAATCCATCTGTCAGTTCTAATGAGAATGCGTTCACAAGCTATTTTTGCATACATAATGAGCCCATGACCTTTGACCTTTGGCCTCATGACCCAAGAATCTCATTGGCTCTGCAAGATACATACATGATCTAAGTTTGGGAGGAATCCATCAATCTGTTCTAATGATAATGCGATCACAAGCTATTTTTGCATGCATAATGAGCCACATGAGCTTTGACCTTGACCTCATGACCCCAAAATTTAATCAGTTCATCGGCTCTGCAAGTAACATACATGACCTAAGTTTGGCAGGAATCCATGGCAATCGGTTCTTGAGATAACGCGATCACGAGCTGTTTCAGCATACATAATGAGCCCTGTGACCTTTGACCTTTAACCTCGTGACCCCAAAATCTAATCAGTTCATTGTCTCTGCAAGATACATACCTGACCTAAGTTTGGCAGGAATCCATCAATCGGTTCTTCAGATAACGCGATCACGAGCTGTTTTTGCATACATAATGAGCCCTGTGACCTTTGACCTTTGACCTCGTGACCCCAAAATCTAATCACTTCATCGGCTCTGCAAGATACATACATGACCAAAGTTTGGCAGGAATCCATCAATCGGTTCTTCAGATAACGCGATCACGAGGACGGGACGTACGTACGGACGGACGGACGGACAACCCGAAAACATAATGCTTCCGGCTACTTCGTAACGGAGGCATAAAAATCTACTAAATCATTTTGCCCCCGACATTAATTTTTTTTTTTTTTTTTTTTTTTTTGGGGGGGGGGGGGATTTAAACGCTTAAACCCCCCCCCCCCCCCCCCCCCCCCCCCCCCCCCCCCCCCCACCGTAGATCCACCCCTGGAAAGACAAGCTTTTCTTAGATCTAAGGTATCACATGTAAAAATGTCATGGTTAAATTTGAGTAGTTAAAACTGCCTGTAGCACTGAAAAGTTTACATCATAGTCATTAATTAGGGCATACAGTTATGCAGTAATAGCTATAAAGATGTCACTGTAGCTGCCCTCTTGTGCCCACTAGGTATGTCTTCATTAGCTCGAGATTGCCAAATAGCCTGCTATTTCTGATTTGGAAATAATCCGGAAGTTAAAAATCACGTCTTCATCAGCTCGGGACTCAACCTTGAAACTTGAAACTCAAGCTCAGAAAATTAGCTTGAGATATTCGCACTAGTGCGAGATTTAGGGCTGGTGAAGACGCATCGGACAAATAGCAGGATATTTTGCAAACTAGCCCAAGATATCTTGGGATGATTATCTCGACCAAATATCCCCCTCATTGCAACTGCGGGCTGGTTAATTTGTGATCGGGATAGTTAAAATAGCGGGTTATTTGGTTATTATCTCAAAGCTGATTGAAGACATACCCACTGTAGTTGCATTCTTGTGTCTACTGAGCTACAGAGCAGGGAACTCACCTGTGCTGCAACTCTCAAGGTGACTGGCCAGAGCTTCCCATCAGGTCCGACATAGCTGGCCTCCAGCAAACCAGACACCTGGGCAAACAGGCTCAGGGTAGATAGGATGCTGTAAGAAACGAAACCCGTCCCCAAACACAGAGACGTGACGAGAGCAAGAAAGTAGCGGTGGTTGAATCCCCCAATGCAGTTGTTTAGCCACGTGCAGTGGTGATCAAAGCGGTACACACAGTGGTTGCATGTTCCTGAAAGATATGCAAATATGACCATATATAAGTACATAAATATATGTGTATATATATATATATCTATATTTTTAAAAGAACACATTAATGCATGCACATACCTGCTCCTCCACTTGTAGGGAGGAAGTTTTTATTTATTATTCTTCTATGCTCACAATTCCAAATCATTCAAAGTTCTTTACTTATTTCTGACATATAAAACGTTCAACAAGAAATTGTAGGAGTAGGGCAGGAATTTAAAGAAAAATTCTGACTTTATGACTTTATGAAACAAATTGGAAGTGTTTAGTTGAAAACAATGTGCAGCCCTGAGGCTGAAATGATTTGTTTAACAAGACTACTCGATTTCTACCACATCACTGTGGAAATACATAAAGTATTTTATCAAAATACAATGTGTTTAATGGCAAAATCTAAATAAGATTTTTCAATGGAAACCATTCAACACATAGTAAGTAGGATTGTGAGGCGGCACATCATTTGTATTGATTCTTTCAAAACCACATACATATGTAGTGACAATACTTTCTTTTGGAAGAACAACTCTTTTTCAGCAAACACTTTTCATGTAGAGGCCTACATGTATATGCAACCAGCCTTTACTCTTTATATTCAAATCAACTTGGAAGTTGGCTGGACTTGCCCTTAATAACTACACTGTACCTTTAAGTATAGGAATTGTGTCTATGTAAATATTCATTTGTCAATGTGTGTTGGTACTTCTTCAACATCAATGTGATTGATTTGTTTTTATTGGACATAAACTAACCAAAAAAAAGACATTTCTATCATGGATTTAGAACATAAACTAACCAAAACAAAAACATTTCTATCAAGGATTTAGAACTCTGATGGGGCGTTTTCTTTTGATGGAATTTAAACTTACTGGTAAACGTCATGAACATTTCTGAACAAGTTATATTGTTCAATTATAATATAACTGCACTTTGCCAATTTCCAGGGGATATTAAAAGAATTATGAATTAAATTTGAAATGATCATTTGCGTGCAAATTTCTCTTAAAACTGGTTACAATCATCTAATCTTTAAATTTACATTGTTTTAAAGAGTTCTTTAAACTGTCCTTAGAACAAAATACCTTTTCTACACCCCAGTTTTAATCTTACCACAGTGCTTCGATCTGGCTGGCTTTTCAAATTTACAAGTCCGGCACTCTGCACCCCTGTGATACAACACACAGTCCATGTCATACACGTCTCTGAATCGATGCAGTGTCTCCATGGTGATGACCCCTGGGTCACTCTTGCAGCAGATGATAAAGAGGACTAAGCATGATGTAAACCAGAAGTAGGAGACGAAGATGATCCAGGCAGGATTACCCACTGCCAGAGCAAGCGGAAGCACGTCAACCGTGTAGTAGTACAGCGCAAGGAGGAGGACGATCACGTACAAGTATTGGAAAAAAGGGTTTCTATAAAGGAATAGATGAAATGAGAATTCATGGAGTCAACGTTTTCTATTGATAATAATAATAATACTCAGTTTTTATATACCGGTAGTGCTTATTAGAATCACTAAGCGCTTCCAAACTTGGAGATTATTACCCCGGCTTTAGCTGTGCTGCAATTGCGGCGCTCTAGCATTTCTAAGAATTAATTCCTACCAGGTACCCATTTACATCACCTGGGTTGAGTGTGGCAAATGTAGATCAATGTCTTGCCAAAGGATATATTCTAATGTGAATTTTTGTTCATGCTTCAAGTTAGCATTACTTGAATTGTGTTCATAAAATTAGGCTGTCTACAGTGCAATACCCATTTCTTGCCACATCAAGTAGGCACATGCCAAATGGCTAGCAAACCATCAATAGAAATTTAGTAACGAACTCTGCTTCTCTTTTCAAGATTTACGTACGTTCTGTACAGATGCCAGATTTCCTTATTCCCCAAATGAGCCTTATTTCCCCCCCCCCCCCCCTCCCCATCTACAGTACATGTGGTATGAACTTTGATAGACAATTTATACCAATGCACTCCTGTCTTCTTGAATAAAATTGAGCTGAAAATGTGGTTTCTTTTGGAAAATATGTAACACTATATTTGATGTTATGTAGCATCATTCACCCAAAAGCCAACAGCAAACTACATCACTGATAGTCTGCCCCGTCAAATGTAGGCCCCTTTAAAGGAAATAGATATATATCTTTCAGTTTCTTCCTGGACATGTTGATATCCATGATGTTTATTTTACATAAGAAGTCCCTACTAGTTCTTTACATGGATAATCTGAATTCATTGATGTACCTCTAGTTTTCTTTTTCATTTTTATATGACTGAAATCAAAACTCAAACTGACCTCTCATGAATAAGGTAGTTGATGAACCTGTTAACCAATCTTTGGACAGCTCTAGGGAGGAGATTTCTGTGCACCCATTTCACCGTCTGCGGAGAAAAATCAATTGCAAAGTCCTATCCGGTTGACTTTACTTTTTTTCTCTCTTGATAATACAGGATCACCCAGTTTAGATTGGCAATAAATTAATATGCTATATCAAATGAATACAAGATGAAATCTAGAATCCATGATCAATTATATATAATCTCTTTTCTACATCTTCACACATATTACATACAGAAATATTTTTCAGATTCATTTAATTTTTATTGGCTTTTAAGCTGAATAAAAGAAAACTAATTATGAACTTATAAATTACTCCAAGAATGAAAAAATAAATTAAGTATTGAAAGATATTAAATATAATTTAGATCAATAGATCACCATCTAAAATGCATTATTTCCATCGCTTGTTTTGGGGGTACCCTCATCTTGTGGGATGACAGAGGACTTCAAGTAAAGATTTCTTTCAGATTTTCCTATTTCAAAATCCAAGAAATCATGAACATACTCTTTTAGTTTTTATTCTTAAAAAGAAGTTGAAGAGGCATTGGTACCTGCAGAAGGCCTTGTCTTATTTTGCCGATTACACCATTACGATGAAAGTTGCTGTCGCCAAGCAAGAGAATGTAGGAAAATGAACCAAACGTCACTCCGTATGCTATCATAAGTATCAAGAAATCCATTATGATAAATGATCAAGTCGGGGTCTGCTTCTTAAAAGATGAGTCGACTTCATATCCTCCTATAAACTGAGAAGAAAAAAAGTAACAGAGAAAAAAAGTAACAGAAAAAAAAGTAATAATGGACAAAGCTCAAATTGGGTTATTTTATGGACCCAAATACTCATTGCTGATTATGGGAACTGAACTCAATCATCATCTACTCATCTCTCACATCAAAACATAGCCAAAACAACAAAATTGTTTTGTCACACATGTGTAGTTGTGCACACCAAATACTAAATAGATTTGAGTCAATAGGTCACATTTTGCAGAATAATAGCGTGTTCTTTCACGTTTTTATCCTAACTTAGAAGTTAGACTCTAGAATCTAGAGTCCAACTCTAAATCTAATCTAGATCTAGACCGAATTTTCTGTCTCTTTCGTTCGTTAGCCTAGCCTCTTATTGGGGTAGGGTCGGCCGGCTCTCTCTTTAGAGACGGAAGCCGTCTATACACATGCTCTTGACAACGCCACGGCCATTTCAGGTCGTAGCGTTTTGCCCCCAAAATCCCCCAAAATGTCATTTTACCTCATGCATTGATTATTTAAAATTAGGAGAAGGTTATACTACATCGATTCCACTTACCAACTTGACCGTATAACACGTTTAATGGTCCCTTTTCAGGAAATTACGGGTCAAAATCGACAGCCGTGTTGAAAGGCATGCAGTGGTGCTCCGTAGTCTTCCTGCGTATGTTGTTATTTTTTATTTATTTAAATCTCATCCCTTCTAGTCTGTGCGCAAGGCAAAATGATTATGAAGGAGATGCTGTGATAACGTCATTACGAACTCGTAGCTCGTGCACATTGATTTCCATGCAGGCGCGTACGCAGGGGGGGTGTTTGGGGGGTTAAACCCCCCCCCCCCCTTTGGTATTTTTATATGTGTAAACCCCCCTAAAAAATTCCTAAACCCCCCCCCCCCCCCTTGGATTTTTTTTTTTTTTTTTTTTTAATAATTAATTAAGCATGAGCATGAGCATGAGCTTCTTTTTCGAATTGAACATCTAGAGGTCTACGCGATGTGTATAATTTAAGCCAACATGGCCTACAGTAGGTGGGACTACTAATTAAGGTTTGACAAACGACGTTAACCCCAAAAAAGTATCTAAGCAAATAATGTTTTCTCAAACGAAATGCATTTTACACATCCTGTAAATAATAAAACAATATTGGGCCCAATATTAAAATCATACATAGATCTATGTCAAACACTCTTGCATCGTGAAATTATTACCTGTCTTTTGAACGATTGTGTTGTCAGTTTTTTTTAATGGTATGCTAGCTTTGAAGAGACAAGTAAATCGTGCAACGGTCACAAAGGTTCGTATGAACGATAATTAGGTGGGCTGTATCTAATACAGACCACCTTATAATTTTGTTAAAATTGCCTTTATTATTATTTATTTATTATTTATTTTTCTTATTTCGACCCACTTTTTTGTGGACAAGATAATTTGAAAATGGCTCAATCAAATATCTTAAAATTTGGCACACATATGTATAGGCATATGAACAAAACACAGCAAATTTTTTAACCTTGACCTTGACTGATGACGTCATCTAGGCACCATTTTGTGAAAATCAACATATGATCATATCTTCATAACGGAAAGTTTTTTCTTATTCATATTTTCCATGATCAAGGTCAATATCAGTTCAGTCAATTTCATGTCAAAAAACGCGCGCGTGCGCGTACGTCCGCGCGTCAATGCGCGCGCAAAATTTTTAAATGCTCAAAATCGTCTTAAAATCATTTTGCATACGTTTTAGGCCATTCTAAGCATTTTATAAAAAAATCGCGCACACGCGCATGCGCGCGCGTTTTCGCGCGTAAAACTATTACACAACATAAAATCGCATTTTTTTTCTTTCATGATATTTCTTATATTCTTTTGAACAATTTGATACCACGTTTATCTCTTTATGACCATTAATAACAAGATGAGCGTCCATTCAAGATAAATGTCCGTGTGCGCGAGCTCTTTTAATACATAGCATATATGGGCAAAAACAGGCATATACAAAATCCATTATAGCTCTGTAGAATGCAACTGGAAACCAATTTTTTTTCTTCATATTTTGATAGAGTGTGAGTCGGAGATATGATTTCATGTCTCATTTGGCCATTACAAATATTATGACGTCATCATAATGGCCTTGGAACTCAAAATACGAATTTGAATATTATGACGTCAGCATATTTATGGAAAATTGATTGTATCTCTGTAAATATTGATCGATTTTCTCTCAAATTTTGATATGTTGTAGCTAAGACAATTTTCTACAAGCTCAATAGACACCAATTTTAATTTTGATGACGTCATCATAGTGAAAATTTTGATTAAAGGCCTCATGTCAGAAATTTCATAATTCGGGTGTTATGCCTATAGAAGGTGAAGTCATGAATCTACATGATATTGTTTTTTAAGAATTTTTAAGCAGTATCTCGCTTATTTTTGCTCTATTTTGTCTCAAATTTTAGTTGACCAGCCCACCTATACTTGTTCCAAACAAGTATTACATGTCTAGTTTCGTACTGTTTTTCCATTGTCTTCCCGAATTTCCATTGTCTGAAATTCGTTCGTACGGCGTTCGTAGCAGTTCGTAATGGCATTTGTGACCGAGGCTAAACATGAAACCGGTTTATTCAAATTGTCTGCATACTTTTTAAACGAAGGTTTTTTAATAGTTTACCCGAGGCTTGCCCGAAATTACAAAAAGTTAAGTATGCATAATGGATTCCAAGCATTGTCGTTCATTCAATAATAACAGGCTTATGGAATAACTCGTCACTAGAAAAGAAACATCGATAAAATGTAATACGTAACATAATACATTTTATGGATGTTTCTTTTCTAGTCGTTAGGAAACTGGTCTATTGAGCAAGTAAGATGGAAATGAAAATAGGTGGAGGGGGGGGGGGGCACGCCAGATCCATCTTACTAATGACGAAATATTAACATGAGAACAAAATTGAGGGGAAAATATGTTTTTAAACGGGTGATGATGGCCCTAGTTCACAAATCTCCAACATAAGGCCAGTGACGATGATGATGATGATAATAATGACAACTATCAGGGGCGCAAATCCCGGGGGGATGGGGGGGATGCATCCCCCTGGCTCGAAGGAGGGGGGGGGGATGGCCTGTACAAAAATCCCCCTTAGATTACAAAAAAAAAGAGAGAAAAAAAAGGAAGAAGAAGAAGAAGAAGAAAAATGTGATTGTTTCAATTTCAGCATAATGCATGAGAAATGAGTTCTTTTTTTATGTATATATAAACTGTATAGCCTACACGTATACAGTATGTCACGAGTATAGTTGCGCGACGTGCGCGAACAAGCACTTCATAAACTTCAGAATAATGTTCGTTATTTTGCATGGTATTATTATAGCCCAGACGTAAAGTGCCCTCTTTTGGCCGATATTTTTCAGTTTTTAATGTTTTTGTTTTTTTTCCTTTTTTTTCCCCGCCCTCTTTTGGCTGATATTTCTCAGTTTGTAATGCTTTAATACATGTGTTTCAGCGTCATCATTCATATCATTTTCACCTCATAATAATCCATGGTTTGCAATGTTGTGTTGAGACAACACTCTGTGTTTCCCAGCTGACGAAGTTGGTTTTCAACTACCTGTAAAACTTGCTAGCAATGTGAACGGATTCCAAATTGATGAAAAAATTAAAAATTTGTCTCGATGTATATGTCCTTTCATCTCGTCTTTACGTAAATTTTCAATGTTTTTTAGTGCCTTCAAAATGTGTCATGAATATAAAAGTGTAGTGAGCCTTTCCGTAGAAAACTCTAAACAGCGACCGTCGCCCAAATCTTCTTGGTTTCTAGCTGGTGCAGTGCATGGTATAAACGGGCGTATAAACACGTACACGAGGCCGGGGTCTACCTACGTGCACGTTTACGCTAGTAGGATTTTGAAACTAGGGCAGAACTTTGAAGACGAGTGGGAATTTGGGAAGAATTTGATTTTATTCTCATTTAAACAAACAAGATACATATTTTTGTATTCATTAATAACAACATTTTTTTTAAATGGTAAAAAAAAAAACTTTTTTAAAATGCCGACCGTAGATTTTCAGATTTTTTGGTCGGTCGCAAAGGGCAATCCAACAAGTTTTTATTTTAGGCCTAATAATGAACATAAAGTGGTTGTGACCATATGGTTTATTCTTCAGAGATGAAATCTATATCTTTTCAGAACTTAGAGTTATAGAGATTGATCAATAAAGTTCTGAGAAGATATAAACTTGAATAAACAATAAACCATGTTATCCCAACCACGTTCTAAAAATAGGTAAGAAAAAACTATTCCAACTTTAGGGGCAATAATGTATGTAATAATAATGATAATAGTAATTATGATAATTAGTATAATAATAGTATAACAATTATTATCATACCAATAAGAATTAGAAATACAATGATAATGATAATAATAAGAATAAGTTAAAATGTTCTACAAGCACTCCCATTCGTTCATTTTTACTATTTTAAGCCATAGCATTATATAACTTCTTGTTCAAAGTTAAACGAAAGAATTCTCCTACACCCTTTTGGGATGATACTATAATAGTGAATTTTTTAAAATTTGAAAGAATGTTTGCTATGGAAATGATGTGTTTTTGACCTATTTATTTCGTATGCTTTAATACTACATTTATTTATGCAAATTTTAAAGTAATATATACCCAATTATCAGGGTTTCAGAACTTACATCGACTATAATAAAGATCTTGAATATCGTATTGCAAAAAAGAAAAACAAATTGCCCTTGCACTTTGAAAAATGGAAGCTTGTTTTATATTGTTGTATAGATACTAGACTAGTAAGTGTAAATTTAGTTTTCATGAGGTTTTGATCTACGTTGTACTTTTTTGTAAACTTTTCATAATTACTTGTTAATATTGTAATTGTATTTGATTGTTTCAATAAAATAGATTTAAAAAATAATAATTAAAATAAAATAATAACAAGGTCGGCCTTGTGGCCCTTACTGCCCCCGAGGGGACTACAACCTGAATTCCTAACCGATTCCTAAAGATTCCTAACAAGTCCTAACCATTTCCTAACAATTCCTAACAATTCCTAACCGATTCCTAACAAGTCCTAACATTTCGGGACAGGGGGCATAAAGAAAGGGGCGGAGACTTTGGTCACATGACTTTCCCTTGACAATAATTGACAAAAAGGGACAGTTGAGGGCGCTTAATTTGAAATTGGTCGTGTTCTCCTGCTCCTCAACTTTGACTGAGTGCTTTCCAGCATATTTTGCTCTTCCTTTAACTTTTTCTGTGAGTGCCCTCAAATTTTTTTGAAATAGTGTCATAAAAATAATAATAAAAAAAAGAAGGAAAATAATTACATTAAGGTTGCCCTATGTGGCAGGGCGGCCTTGTGGCCCAATGGATAAGGCATCTGACTACGAATCAGGGGATTCCAGGTTCGAGTCCTGGCAAGGTCGAATTTTTTGTAATTTTGAAATAGTGCCATAAAAATAATAATTAAAAAAAAGGAAAAATAATAACATTGAGGTTTCCCTTATTGGCAGGGCGGCCTTGTGGCCCAATGGATAAGGCATCTGACTACGAATCAGGGGATTCCAGGTTCGAGTCCTGGCAAGGTCGAATTTTTTGTAATTTTGAAATAGTGCCATAAAAATGATAATTAAAAAAAAGGGAAAATAATAACATTGAGGTTTCCCTTTGTGGCAGGGCGGCCTTGTGGCCCAATGGATAAGGCATCTGACTACGAATAAGGGGATTCCAGGTTCGAGTCCTGGCAAGGTCGAATTTTTTGTAATTTTGAAATAGTGCCATAAAAATAATAACTAGAATTTAAATCGTCACGAGGACGATTAAGGTGGTCTGTTTTCAAGTCTTATGATAGATTATAATATTTACTATATTGAGAAAGGAAGAAGTTATATAGACATGTAAAGAATGATCATTATCATGATGATCATGATGATGATGATCTTGATAGTAATGGTGATGACGATGATGATGATGATGATCATCATGATGATGTTGATGATTATCATCAACAGACCATGATGACAGACTGAAAAAAATGAGAGAACATTTAGATAGTAATTATAGTCTCAGCTTCAACATACTCAAAAATCAACAAAAATCAAGCCAAAATAACGGCGATATTGCTCGCAAAAGACAAGAATGTAGAATCCAGATTTTGAGAAAAAGTCATCTCCCATAAGGATTACACGCAAAAAGTAATGGATCAAGTGATAATAGGGTAATAATAAAGTAAATATGGTTCAGGTTTATTACATTATTTGCGATTGTACGTGTTAATATTCAAAGGAGATGGTACAGTGAAAGGTCAAAAAGAAAAAGAAAGGGAAGAAGAAAAATTGTTGGAGACGCCCGTGATGATGATGATGATATATTGATAATGATCATGATCATGCTGACATCTGATTGAAAAAATGAGGGAGACATTTAGATAGCATATAGTCTCAACTACAACATACTTAAAAATCAACAAAAACCAAGTGGAAATAACAGCGATGATTGCTCGCAAAAGAACGGAATGTAGAATCCAGATTTGAGAAAAAGTCATCTCCCATATAGAGAAATTAAGAGAGAAATTATATAGACATGTAGATGTAAACAATGATGATCATAATGATGATGAAGATGATGATCTTGATAGTAATGGTGATGATGATGATGATTATTATAATGATAATGTTAATGATGATGATGATGATGTTGATGATCATGCATGATCATGATCCTGATGATTTTGATGATGATCATCGTCAGACCATATGATGATGATCATGATGATATTGATGATGATCATGATGATAGTGATCGATGATGATCATTTATGAGCGTGATCCTGACATCTGATTGAAAAAATGAGGGAACATTTTAGATAACATATAGTCTCAGCTACAACATACTCAAAAATCAACAAAAACCAAGCAGAAATAATGGCGATTATATTGCTCGCCAAACGGACAGGAATGTAGAATCCAGATTTCAGACCATGATGATGATCATCATCATCATTATGATAATGATGATCATGAGCGTGATCCTGACATCTGATTGAAAAAATGAGGAGACATTTAGATAACATATAGTCTCAGCTACAACATACTCAAAAATCAACAAAAACCAAGCAGAAATAATGGCGATATTGCTCGCAAAAGACAGGAATGTAGAATCCAGATTTCAGAAAAAGTCACCTTCGATAGGCACGCAAATTACGAAAATTCTGACATGTCGCATTTAATCGAAATTTTCACTATGATGACGTCATCAAAATGAAAAATGGTGAGATATAAATAAAGAGAAGGAAAGAGGAAGACGGTACGTTATATAGTCATGTAAAAATACATGAGCTGGACAGAGGGATAAAAGATCGAGGAATCAGAAATGCGCATGTCTTGGAAGGAGAGAGGATATAGCGGGAGGATGGTGGTATATAGGTATACGTACGTGAAATAAGAATACAAAGCTAGCCAAAGATAGGCAACGGAAAGAGCTAGGGAAAATTAAGGAGCAATGGAATAAGGCCAGAAAAAAAAAAAACAAAACATGTTTAGCGTCCTGTTTTTTGGAAAAATAGGAAGGAGGAGGCCCCTTTTTTTTTTTTTTTTTCTTTCAAAATGGCCGCTCAAAATGGCCGCTCGGTACATTTTCCCTGTCAGTCGGGCTACTTTTCAAGATGGCCGCCGACATTTTATGTTTTTTTTTCTTTAAAAATTTTTTTTAAAAAAAATCAAAAAAAAATCAAAAAAAATCAAAAAAATAATAGGAGGCGGCCCCCAAAAAGGAAGCGGGCGGAGACGCTAAACATGTATATTCTTTTTACATGGCCTAAACGACAAGGTATCAGATATCCATTGTTTTGACATTCCTTTTCCCTTAGATATAAACACGCAAAATCATGCATTTCGTGAGAAATTATATGCGCGAGAAATATACTGGGCGAATTGTCTGTAGGGCGAATTTAATCTGACCAAGATTTTGGCCGATTCGAATTGCATAGACACTCGTACTCATGATCATGGTCATATGAGTTCTGAGAACTGCTGTTTAGTTGTGCTGTCGTGCTGATTGCTAGCTTAGTTTTGGTAAGAATTCGGTTGTTGCTATTGTATTACTTTATCGTGAATCCTTTCTTATTAGTTTGTTGGAGATTTTGCGTTATCGCATAAGTGTGTGAGTGTATTTAAACTTTTAAAGGCATTGACTTTGTTTATAATAATGTGTGCAGTTTTACAAATCAAGTCTGAGATGCGATACATCTTACGTATACATGTACCGGTATACCGGTATAGGGTCTGCGTGTTATCATATCAGCTCAGTGAGTGTGATTGTGATTGAATTTTGAAGCCCTACGAAAAACGAAAAGGAAGTGTTTCAAAAAAGTGAAAATCTTTGACTCAGTTTGACTTTGATTGACCGGTTTTACCATACTCATTTCCCCCAATAGACTGTAAAGTGTAGACCGTAGACGTAGTCTAGATCTAGACCTAGTTCTAGATCTAGGTCTAAGTCAGTGTTATATTAATTAAAAACCGTAAGTCGGTAGGGATCTAGGCCTACTACTAGATCTAGATACTATATCTGACTATAGGCCTAGATCATAGATCTAGACTAGACCTAGATCTAGTCTAGATCTATTAATTTCTAATTCAAATCATAAATATCTTGATAGTTGATAATTAGACAGGTCACAGCTGACAGGCGATCGGCTTGTAAAAGTCATGGGATAATAATTATCCCCTCGCCAAAGAAGGAGGGGATCTAGACAAGACCCCTGTATATTATGCTGCTCGCTGTCGAAGCCCTTCCTTCTGAAGTTCTGTGTGCCTTAACAAATCTGGTTTAAAATCAATAACTTTAGTAATGTCCGATATGAAGGTACATGCTATCAAAATACAGCATAAGTTCAGTTTCGGAGTATGTAGGTCAAAGGTCATAGCTCATTAAATGTGCAAATCTGGTTTCTATTCGATAACTTTAGTAATGTTTGACGGATTTTAATGAAATTTGATATGAAGGTAAATGGTATAAAAACACCGCATAAGTTGAGTTTCGGAGTATGTAGGTCAAAGGTCATAGCTCATTAAATATGCGAATCTGGTTTCTGTTCGATAACTTTAGTAATATTTGATGGATTTTCATGAAATTCGATATGAAGGTACAGGGTATAAAAACGAGGCATAAGTTCAATTTCCGAGTATGTAGGTCAAAGGTCATGGCTCATTAAATATGCAAATCTGGTTTCCGATCGATAACTTTAGTAATGTTTGACAGATTTTAATCAAATTTGATATGAAGGTACATGCTATCAAAATACAGCATATGTTCAGTTTCGGAGTATGTAGGTCAAAGGTCATAGCTCATTAAATGTGCAAATCTTGTTTGTGTTCGATAACTTTAGTAATGTTTGACGGATTTTAATGAAATTTGATAGGAAGGTACATGCTATCAAAATACAGCATAAGTTCAGTTTCGGAGTATGTAGGTCAAAGGTCATAGCTCATTAAATATGCGAATCTGGTTTCTGTTTGATAACTTTAGTATTATTTGATGGATTTTCATGAAATTCGATATGAAGGTACATAGATCTAGTATAAAAACACAGCATAAGTTCAATTTCCGAGTATGTAGGTCAAAGGTCATAGCTCATTAAATGTGCAAATCTGGTTTGTGTTCGATAACTTTAGTAATGTTTGACGGATTTTAATGAAATTTGATAGGAAGGTACATGCTATCAAAATACAGCATAAGTTCAGTTTCGGAGTATGTAGGTCAAAGGTCATAGCTCATTAAATATGCGAATCTGGTTTGTGTTCGATAACTTTAGTAATGTTTGACGGATTTTAATGAAATTTGATAGGAAGGTACATGCTATCAAAATACAGCATAAGTTCAGTTTCGGAGTATGTAGGTCAAAGGTCATAGCTCATTAAATATGCGAATCTGGTTTCTGTTTGATAACTTTAGTATTATTTGATGGATTTTCATGAAATTCGATATGAAGGTACATAGTATAAAAACACAGCATAAGTTCAATTTCCGAGTATGTAGGTCAAAGGTCATAGCTCATTAAATATGCGAATCTGGTTTCCAATCGATAACTTTAGTAATGTTTGACAGATTTTAATCAAATTTGATATGAAGGTACATGGCATCAAAACACGGCCTAAGTTTGATTTCCCAGTATGTAGGTCAAAGGTCATAGCTCATTAAATATGCAAATCTGGTTTCTGTTTGATAACTTTAGTATTATTTGATGGATTTTCATGAAATTTGATATGAAGGTAAATGGTATAAAAACACAGCATAAGTTCAATTTCGGAGTATGTAGGTCAAAGGTCATAGCTCATTAAATATGCGAATCTGGTTTCTGACATCGATAACTTTAGTAATGTTTGAAGAATTTTAATCAAATTTGATATGAAAGTACATGGCATCAAAACATGGCCTTAGTTTGATTTCCCAGTATGTACCCTGCGAGGGGATGCTATGCTTTGCGTTGACTTGTTTTATTTATGTCATTTAGCATTATGAATGAGGGCTCATTATTTGTATTTATTGTAATATATTGATATTGGTATTTTATTAAATGTAATTTTTTGTTTTGTTTGTATTTTAGGTTACTGAGAGTTGAAGAGAGAGTTGCAGAAAGTAAGTTGATATGCTTAGAAAGGCTGAAGTCAAGTAGTTTTTAAATTAAAGCTATGATGGAATGAAACAGATCCGCATAATTGGGAACAATTGAATGCAGAATACGAAAGCTATGGCTTTAAGAAATTTTCTATATAACTTTTTGACACTACCAAGTTACTTTTAATTATGTCAGTAAAGGTATAGACCAGTTTTGGAAAAGCCCCCCTCTCAAAAAATGAAATGGTACCTTTTTTTAACAATCATGTGAAAGAATATGTTTTGACTAATACCTGATGATACAAATTTTGATACTAATTGATATATTTGGTAAATTATTATATCTATCCGGAGTGGATAGATATCGCGCATGTGTCGCATAGTCCCATATACATCTTTCTGTGTACAGTGCTTGTAACTTTACCATGACTGGGTCAAATTTCTCATCATTTTGATGATCCAGAACCTTTCAGTACACACCAATACTTACCGTATATGCTAGATGATCAACCTTTTGTGATCGATTTCACAACGTTTTTTTCGCAATGCAATCGCATGACCAAAACTGGTCTTGAATGAGGGCTCACTATTTGTATTTATTTTTGTAATATATTCATATTGGTTTTTTATAAAATGCAATTGTTTTTTTCTTTTCTTTTTTTATTTCTAGTGCTTTTAATCAACAAATGTCAGTTTGATTAAAGAAATGACCCACACCAGACAGTTATTTCTGTCTATGACTCTCTATGTTTTGCTGGAGTGTGGGGTGGGGGGGGGGGGGGGGGGGGAGTCACAGGTTGAACATTGGCACATAGAGAGGTCAAAAGTCATTTGAGTTCCAGCGTTAAAGTTTACCTGCAACCTCAGCTACACTACAAACACAAACACATTTTACCTTCACACATGTAAAATATCAATGCAATAATTTTACTCGTATCAAAGGGGGAGGGAGTAAATGCAGTGGAAGCAGGTGAAAGGCAGTAGCATAACATGTAATACCCCTTCTCAAAGTTTATGGGATGTTGCATTCTATGGCAGATATTTCAAAATCAGCTTGCGATAGGCCCTACAATTCTTCTATGGCAATGGACATTGCGATATTCTAGTTATTTTCACAAGTGGGCGAGACACAACATCGCTAATGCCTTGTTTAAACTGAAAAGTCATCCACAAAGTAGATGAGGTTTAGACATTGGTCAGTTAAAAATTTATGTTGTGCCACCACCCATGATAATGTCATTACAGAAATGGTACAATTTGAAACAGGGAAAGAGCTTAAAATGAAAATGCATTGAAGTACTGTACCTAAACAAAATATTGATATTAACATTATTTCTGAACTGTTGGTTCTTACAAAAGTTATTGATTTCGGTCTAAGTTGCAGTTTGGGATGTAATGTGGTGTTTGAATCTTTCCATTTCAGATTTGATAGATCTACTCTTACTGTTGGACAGTTACTGAGAGAGAAGCAAGGAGGCAGAGGTAAATTCAGCTCTTACTGTTGGACAGTTAGTGAGAGGGAAGCAGGGAGGAAGAGGTGAATAGAGCTCTTATTGTTGAACATTTACTGAGAGAGAAGCAAGGAGGCAGAGGTAAATAGAGTTGTTACTGTTGGACAGTTATTGAGAGACGAGCAAGGAGGAAGAGGTGAATAGAGCTCTTACTGTTGGACAGTTACTGACACAGAAGCAAGGAGGCAGAGGTGAATAGAGCTCTTACTGTTGGACAGTTACTGACACAGAAGCAAGGAGGCAGAGGTGAATAGAACTCTTACTGTTGGACAGTTAATGAGAGAGAAGCAAGGAGGCAGAGGTAAACAGAACTCTTATTGTTGGACAGTTACTGACACAGAAGCAAGGAGGCAGAGGTGAATAGAACTCTTACTGTTGGACAGTTAATGAGAGAGAAGCAAGGAGGCAGAGGTAAATAGAGTTGTTACTGTTGGACAGTTATTGAGAGACAAGCAAGGAGGAAGAGGTGAATAGAGCTTTTACTGTTGGACAGTTACTGAGACAGAAGCAAGGAGGCAGAGGTGAATAGAGCTCTTACTGTTGGACAGTTACTGACACAGAAGCAAGGAGGCAGAGGTGAATAGAACTCTTACTGTTGGACAGTTAATGAGAGAGAAGCAAGGAGGCAGAGGTAAACAGAACTCTTATTGTTGGACAGTTACTGACACAGAAGCAAGGAGGCAGAGGTGAATAGAACTCTTACTGTTGGACAGTTAATGAGAGACGAGCAAGGAGGAAGAGGTGAATAGAGCTCTTACTGTTGGACAGTTACTGACACAGAAGCAAGGAGGCAGAGGTGAATAGAGCTCTTACTGTTGGACAGTTAATGAGAGAGAAGCAAGGAGGCAGAGGTAAACAGAACTCTTATTGTTGGACAGTTACTGACACAGAAGCAAGGAGGCAGAGGTGAATAGAACTCTTACTGTTGGACTGTTAATGAGAGAGAAGCAAGGAGGCAGAGGTAAATAGAGTTGTTACTGTTGGACAGTTATTGAGAGACAAGCAAGGAGGAAGAGGTGAAAAGAGCTGTTACTGTTGGACAGTTACTGAGACAGAAGCAAAGAGGCAGAGGTGAATAGAGCTCTTACTGTTGGACAGTTACTGACACAGAAGCAAGGAGGCAGAGGTGAATAGAACTCTTACTGTTGGACAGTTAATGAGAGAGAAGCAAGGAGGCAGAGGTAAACAGAACTCTTACTGTTGGACAGTTACTGACACAGAAGCAAGGAGGCAGAGGTGAATAGAACTCTTACTGTTGGACAGTTAATGAGAGAGAAGCAAGGAGGCAGAGGTAAACAGAACTCTTACTGTTGGACAGTTACTGACACAGAAGCAAGGAGGCAGAGGTGAATAGAACTCTTACTGTTGGACAGTTAATGAGACAGAAGCAAGGAGGCAGAGGTGAATAGAGCTCTTACTGTTGGACAGTTACTGACACAGAAGCAAGGAGGCAGAGGTGAATAGAACTCTTACTTTTGGACAGTTAATGAGAGAGAAGCAAGGAGGCAGAGGTAAACAGAACTCTTACTGTTGGACAGTTACTGACACAGAAGCAAGGAGGCAGAGGTGAATAGAACTCTTACTGTTGGACAGTTAATGAGAGAGAAGCAAGGAGGCAGAGGTAAACAGAACTCTTACTGTTGGACAGTTACTGACACAGAAGCAAGGAGGCAGAGGTGAATAGAACTCTTACTGTTGGACAGTTAATGAGAGAGAAGCAAGGAGGCAGAGGTAAATAGAGTTGTTACTGTTGGACAGTTATTGAGAGACAAGCAAGGAGGAAGAGGTGAATAGAGCTGTTACTGTTGGACAGTTACTGAGACAGAAGCAAGGAGGCAGAGGTGAATAGAGCTCTTACTGTTGGACAGTTAATGAGTGTTGCTATTCTGTTTACATCGCGAGGGTTTACTCTCCAAAGAACTCACCAAAGAACTTGCACTTGAACTTGCACTTGAACTTACACTTGCACTTGAACTTGCACTTGAACTTGCACTTGAACTATCTTGAACTATCTTGAACTATCTTGAACTATCTTGAACTATCTTGAACTCTCCAAACAACTCTCCAAAGAACTTGCACTTAAACTTGCACTTGAACTTATACTTGAACTTGCACTTGAACTATCTTGAACTATCTTGAACTATCTTGAACTATCTTGAACTATTTTGAACTATTTTGAACTATCTTGAACTGTCCAAAGAACTTTCCAAAGAACTTGCACTTGAACTTGTATTTGAACTAGCACTTGAACTTGAACTATCTTGAACCTTGAATCTGGAAATCTTGAATCGAATCAAAACTGGAACAGAATATTTCTAAAGATTGTATTGCCATTTTTAGAAGACATAATTATTGTCAATTATAAAGAAATTATTGGCAGTTTCTAGAAGGATTTAACAAAACTCCCTGTAAAGTTGAGAAGTATGTAGAAAAGGCATTGACTGGTATCCCTGTTATGAGAACAGGGTTTTAAATTGTTTAAAATGGCTTTGAGCTTTACAATCTTTTTTCTTTTTCTCCCTGTTCAAGCAATAGTGATGACAGTAGGAAGCTTTTGATGCACTTTGTAGGAAAACCAGAATTGCAGGGTGTTGTAAAATGGAAGGGGGGGGGGGTGGAGGTAGGGGTCTCAACATGTAAATGAGCATGTTATTTTATAGGAATCATGTATAGTGTCCCAAAATAACGAATTTATGTACATTTTGTGGATAAAAATGATTAATATCTGTATATATATATATATATATATGTATTGTAGCATAATCTTACCTCACAAACGTTAAAATTTTTGCCTTCTGAAAGATGGATGATGCTCCTTTTCATTTTAACAAACCTTTTAATATTTACCCCCTCTCGTTACAGGTGTCTGGCTGTCACTTATGTGTTTGTGTTTGTCTCCTGGAAAAGTAATTGTTTTATGTTGACATCTTTTCATTGTATACATTTGAACCAAAGAACCTTCATCTCACCTCTTTTCCTAATCTCAGAAGAGATCCTGCTCTCAGAAGAGAGTGTCCCACACTCAAGAAGGGTGTGCGTCTTTATCCATTTCATCACATTTCACCCACGGGAGACCGTGGTAGAGTTGTATAAAGAATCCACAGAAGAAATTACTGAAAAAGAAAAGAAAATACTGAAAAAGAAAAGAAAATACTGAAAAAGAAAACAGGAACCAGGTGAGACTCCTGGATATATAATCAATAACAGGAAGCAGGTGAAACTCCTGGATATATAAGCAATAACAGGAACCAGGTGAGACTCCTGGATAAATAAGCAATAACAGGAACCAGGTGAGACTCCTGGATAAATAAGCAATAACAGGAAGCAGGTGAAACTCCTGGATATATAATCAATAACAGGAACCAGGTGAGACTCCTGGATAAATAAGCAATAACAGGAACCAGGTGAGACTCCTGGATAAATAAGCAATAACAGGGACAGTGTGTTAGAAAAACAAACAGGCTTGATAGGAATAAATACAATTTATCAAATTACAGTTTTGAGAAATAAAAGGCAAGTTTGCAAAAAGTGGGAAACAAACTTGGGATATTTTCAGTTGTAGGGATACAATAAAGTGTGTTTGCTTACAAAGAACTTTGGGTGAGCGTATTGGAAATTCATTAACCAGTGATAAGATTAATTAATCAGAAGAAAAGCAGGATATTTGATCGTTTACAGATTTTTTTCAAAAGGAAGTAAGCGTGGTAAAATTGAAAAAGGAGTGGGGAAAATTGAAGAAAGAAAAGAAGGTTTAGAAATACAAGTGAACTAGAGTAGTTGGATAGAAGATATTTGATTACAGAGGTTTTTAGGTTAAAAGAAAAAGAAGTGAGTTTGAAAAATTACAAAGAGAGTGAGTAAAATTGAAGTCAAGAGAACAAGTAACCTTGAGTAGTTTGAAAGAGCATATTTTATTACAGAGAGGTTTTTTTAAAGAAAGGAGTAAGCTTTAAATTACAAAGAGTGAGGACGATTGAAGAGAGTAAGGTTCAAAAGTTTATAGAGTTAGAAAAAAAAAAGGAAGTGACTGATAAATTATACATACTGAAGTCAAGTGTGGAGAATTGAAGAGAATTAAGTGCAGAGATAGAAGTGGGCTTGAGTAGTTGCAGAGAGGGTATTTGATCATTCACAGATTTTGTTTAAAAAATCCCTGATAAATTACAAAAAGATTGAGGAAAATTGAAGTAAGAGGAAACGTAAATACAAGTGAGCTTAGGTGGTTGGAAAGAAAATATTTGATTAGAGAGTTTTTAGAATAAAAAGACCGGAACTTGGTAAATTACATATTCGTGAGGAAAATTAAAGCCAGAGAACAAGATTGAGAAATAAAGTGGGCTTAAGAACTTTGATAGAGGATATTTGATGACACTTTTTTTTTTAATTTAAGAAAGAGGTAAGCTTGATTAATTACAAAAGCGTGAGAAAAGTTGAAGTAAGAGAATAAAGTCCAGAACTTACAGAGTTTAGAGAAAAGGAGGTGTCTTTGATAAGTTGAACATATTAAAAAAAAGGAAAAAAAGGGTGAGGAAATACAAGTGGGCTTGAGAAGTTGCAGAGAAGGTATTTTATCATTTACAGAGTTTTGGAGAAAAGAAGGGAGCGTGATAAATAAAAAGAATAAGGAAATTATTAAAGAGATCAAGGTAGAAAAATACAAGTGGGCTTGAGTGGTTGGAAAGAAAATATTTGATCACAGATTTTCTTTTCTTTTTTTTAAAGTGAGCTTGATAAATAACAAAAGTAGAAAAATTGAAGTAAGAGAACAAGGTTTAGGAAAAACATATAAGCTTAAGTAGTTTCATAGAGAGTAGGAAACGTGTTAATATAACTAATATTCAAGTAATTAACTAAAGTTTGTTGATAAAGAAGAGAGTTGAAGGAAATTTTGATAATGATATTCAGTGTTTGTATTAAGTGACTTTCATTACAAGGAAAATAACAGTATAATAAACCCTTAAGTGTGAAAAGGGGATAAACAATTTTGCATCGAGAGTGACAGAGTCCACTTGCGAGTCTGCTTCATTGACAAACAGATTTTAAAAATTGTCAGGGAACTAAAAGTTTTTAATAAAGTATTGCACTTTGAAGAGATATATTGCAGAATAGATACAAAGATTCGTACGTGAAATCTTTAAAAGTATTACCTTCTTGTACATCCAAAACACATCAAGGCATTTATTTGAATATTACTAATTAGACTGTAAACTTTTAATATTGTGCATTTTATGCCTATTGCGATAAAGAGATTGAAAATGGCTGCCACTCAATTCAGCTCTATTGTTCATGAGATTCTAAGCATGCTTTCCAGTTACACATCGATGATCAACACAGATGTTGATGAATGTTATTGCATGGATAAGATCAATAAAAGTGACAACTATGTAACATGCGAGTCTTGTACCAACCATTTCCATGTGACATGTGAGGAATACTTGAACAATGACAAACTTGCTGACCAGAGATTGATTTGGATTTGCTCATGCTGTGGTCATAGCAATATTGGCGATCGAATATTTGACAAAGTATGTATTCCATCTCATTATAACAGATATGAGCCTCTCATGTCAGCAGATGATGATGATGACAATGACGATGAGAACATGGAGATCTTCAAACAGACAAGACGAGTAAGGACATCAAAGAAGAGGTATGTTAAAGTAAAAAGGAGCACGCTGTTTGCAGAGCCATGTAGCAGATATGAAAATGGTGTAACAGACAATCTGTCTCATTTCATAGATCAAAACTTGCTCAATGAAGAAGTTGACGATAAGTGGGTGAAAGTGAAATGCAAGAGAGCAAAACTGATGGCAAGAAAAAGAGAAGAAAGATTGCATTCAAATTCAAAAGAAGAAAATGAACAGGACAAAAGGCAGAAAAGATCAATTCATGGTGTATTGTTGGAACCAGGTGTTACCTACATTGGCAAAGCATTCAAGACATTTTATGGGAGTCGTAAGAGAAAAAACACAGTACACAAAAAAGAGTGTAAGGTGAAGCAGAAAATGAAAAATGAAGAAGAAGATGTCAGTGTGCAATCCTATGCAGAAAATCTATTGAGCATTTATGCTTGCAGTGTGCAATCTCTACATTCTATGAAGGTTTACAATGAAGCCTGTGAAGAAATGGAAAGAATGCAAAATCAATCATACGCTGACGTAACTGCTAGTTTGTCTCCATTGTCAAAACCAGATTCTGATCAACGCTCTAACCAAAGAACTTGCAACATTCTGGAAAAGATGCAGGATTTGAGACGATACAGAGTCTACGCAGGAGGTAAAAGAGGAAGAGGTCGAAAAAGGAACATGAAAGGTCAGTCTTCCAAAGCCGGGAAAAAAGGCACTGATGGAAATCACTCTTCTGATAAATCAGAGATTAGATTTGACAAAGATGAAGGAATAGAATTAGCAGTAAAGAATGAGAAGCTGGATACAAAGAAATCTATGAATGCAAGTGACCAAGGACTTGATCCAAATACATGTAAAAATGATGAACACTCAGACCAGCATATTTGCAATATGAAAGACAACAAAGGTTCAGATGGAGTTGTGCAGGACGATTCAAAGAATAATCTGTTGCAATCAAATTTTGATGAAAATAGGGAAATTGAAACAGACGATGATAGTGGCAGTGATGTTCATATACCAGTGAAACGTTCGTGTGCAAGGAATTGTATAGAATCTGATAGTGATACAGACACAAGTCCTGGATGTGATTTATTCGATAGAAGTGTTTCACTAGAACGCAATATGCCTTTGAATGTTTGTGATAGACCAAAACATATGCCCAGAAATGAACCAGTAGGCAATGTCTGTGAATCGGTATTGGAAAATGATGATATGATGAAAAATGATTTTTCAGATGTTTCAGATGGTGTAGAAGAAGATGCAGTGTTTGACAGTGACCTGAAGAATAGAAGCTTTGATACAGTAAAAGATGGTACAGACAATGATACTGGTATGTCATTTAATGATCATGCTCATTCAAGGAATCCTTTAGAATCTTCTTCAGATTCAAATATCAAAGATGAAGACATTGAAAAGGCAATAGATGCTAATATGTACACATGTACTGATGAAACAGAAACAGAAGTTGAATTTGTAGCAGATCTTGGATTACGTGATAGACCAGATAAAGATTTCAAATTTGTACCCCTCCAGAATAATGACAAACAGAACATTTGTTCAAAACTGAATATCAGATATATAGGCAAAGGCTGTGATTCAAGGTTAGATAGAAATAGCTCTATTGGAGTTCCTTTACAGAGTAAACAAATTACTGGTGATGGCAATTGTTTCTTTCGTGCAATTTCCTATGTAATTTCTGGAACTGAGCGTAATCATGCAATTTTAAGAAATGCCACTGTGAAACATTTATTGCAAACTAAGGACATGTTTAGTAATACATTGAGGCAAGAATATAGAACAGTCAGAGAATATGTTTTGAAACGTAGAATAAAGGAAGACGGAACGTGGGCTACAGACACTGAAATTAGCGCTTTAGCAAATTTAATCGATACTGATATTTATTCATACAATGACCAAGTACCATGTTGGCAATTGTACTCTGCAAAGAAACCTGGAAGAATCAATATTGTTACATCTGATAAGGGAATTTATATACTGTACACAGGAAATGTTCATTTTAATGTTGTTGAATCTGTAGATTTTGTCAATTTCAATTCATTAGAACAGACAAGAACAACTAAAGAAGATAGAACGTCAAAGAGAAATTTGCCATGTCCATCAATTCAGGCTGATGTTAAAGTAAAGCATGTGTTCAAGAAGTGTAGATCACAGTGTCAGATAGAGGAAGAAATTGATGAAGTAGTGGATAAGTCTCCTGAAACATTTCAAAACCATGTTGATCCAAAGGAAAAAAACCGTAGGCTCACGTTGGAAACTGGTACGATAAATCACGATGAGAGAAAAGGTACTGCAAATCTTTTTGACATGACATATGAACAGTGTGCAAGTAATCAGTCTGAATCAGTCGTTCACAACGAACGTAACACCAAGGATGAAACCCTTGAAAGTGATCACAAAGACAAATGCACGAGAGTCGATACACAAATAACGCTTGTTGCCCAAGGGACATTCAATCAAGGTGATACAAGATTTGGTGACTTAAGTGGAAAGCAGTGTGTTACCAATTCACTATCTGCACTGTTGTATAGCAAGATAAAAAATGCCAATGATTGGAAAAGTACAGATCTAGACAGGATTTTGAATAACGGTAATGAATTATACTGTTACATACGGCGATCCACTTCACTCGACAACCAATACTTATTGATATCTGATCTATTTGAATATTTGGATGCGTACAATGAATTGTTTAACATAGTATGCCGTGAACCAGTCACTGGATTGTTAGATGGAGATGAATTGATATTGGCCCAGTCTCTTTCGATGACATTGAAGCAAGCAATTGAAAAAGAACTCTGTACTGATTCTGATGCATGTTTTGTGACATTTGCTAGAAGTACTTTCATTGTATTATCTGGTCAAGATGGTTTTTTTATATTTGATTCACATTCCAGAAGCAGTCGAGGTTTCCTGATTTGTAACGGACACAGTGTTGTACTTCGTACTCAAAGCTGGCAAGGTGTGTACAAGCATTGCATGAGGTTAGCAAAATCAATGGGATGCCCCCTTCACACCGAATATGAAGTAACTAGTGTATGTGCTAAAGCAACTTCCGGTAAGAATGAAACCTTGAAAGGCTATCCACAGTTACAGGATTTTGTTTGTAATCCAATTCCTTCGTCAAATACGCACAGTGAAAGTCAGTCTGGAAGCTCTGGATGTTCCATACATTGTGAAAGCTTTGATGAAGTTCAAATATTGGATGAGAGTGTTTCCCCACAAAAGATGATTGATAACCCAAATGTATTTCTCTTCCCTGAAGAAGCAAATGAAACGATCATTCATGATGTACATTATAACGGTCAGGAATTAAAACTGAAGAGTGTGACAATTACCTTAACCAAACTAAATGAACCACAGCTGAATAACAGTTGTCTTTTGAAAAGAAATGACTCTATCAAGACAAAATATGTAAATGAACAAAATGGAGATTTCAGAAATTGTACTAAATGCGGGAATGACTCTGATAGATTGAATTTAGTGACCAAAGTTCAGAATTCCAACTCTATCTTAAGCAGAAAACGAAAATGGAGTAACCTCGAAAGCGATGCAAAATTTGATGTCGACCTTGGGAAGGAAATTCAAAAAACCAAATTGGTAAAAATGAATGAGAACGACGGCTTAAGAATTGATGCAAGCGAATGTGCTGATAGTAATGACGAATTAATGATAATTGGAGAAGTTCATGTTGGAAATGTAGACCATGGAAAGAAAAAACGTAAACACAGACAAAGTTCTAATCAAAGAAGGAAGCGCACTAGACAGCTTATGAGAGAAAAACGAGCCTTGAACAAAGATGAAATAATTAAGAAAAAAGAAAAGTGTATTCACAATGCGCAAATGAGAAAAACGAAAAAAGTGATTAAAAAGAAAAATAAATATCAAAATGATTTAACCTACAACATGGAAAAAATAAATGAAGTAAAACAAAGACAAAAAGAGAATTACAACACTAATTTATCACAAAAAATAAAGCAAAGAGCTCATGTGAAACGAAGGCAAAAAGAAATGTATAAAGAGGATTTAAATTTCAGGAACATACAGCTAAATATTATGAAAACCAAATATCATTTTGATTTATGTTATAAAAAAACAATTTTGTATAGAAATAAACAAAAATATTTGAGAAATGAAGGATTCAAAGAAAAAGTTAAAACAGCTATGAGGACTAAAATGAAAAATAAATATTGGAATGATGAACAATTTAAACGAATGCACAAACAAAAATAAGAAGTAAATATTCGAACGATGAACAATTTAAACGAATGCACAAACAAAAAATAAGAAGTAAATATGCGAATGATCAACAATTTAAAGAAAAACAACGAGATACCATGAAAAAACGAATAAAGGAATTATATCGCAACGATGAACAATTTAAAAGAATGCACAAACAAAAAATAAGAAGTAAATATGCGAATGATCAACATTTCAAGGAAAAACAACGAGATACCATGAAAAAACGAATAAAGGAATTATATCGCAACGATGAACAATTTAAACGAATGCACAAACAAAAAATAAGAAGTAAATATTCAAACGATGAACAATTTAAAAGAATGCACAAACAAAAAATAAGAAGTAAATATTTGAACGATGAACAATTTAAACGAATGCACAAACAAAAAATAAGAAGTAAATATGCGAATGATCAACATTTCAAGGAAAAACAACGAGATACCATGAAAAAACAAATGAAGGAATTATATCGCAACGATCACTACAAACATATGAAAAAGGCAAATATGAAAATATTGTCCAAAATTAGATATAAAAGCAAAGAATTTAAGGAAAAGAAATTGATGAGCTTAAAAATTAAATATAAAAGAATTGAAAAATATAGGCAAAATGTAATAAAACGAAATCGAAAAAGGTCTGTACTTCGAACAGTAAAATTGTCTGAGTTTGATATTGTACTTGAAGAATTTAGAAAGATAATTTCTCATGGCCCAGAATATGTGTGCTGTGTATGCTTAAAACTTCTCTTTGAGAACCAAGTATTGAAATGTAAAAAGAGTAATTATAACATTCAGACATGCATAAGTGAAGAATATTTGCATGTTTGCAATTCAGAATGCCGGTCAAAATGTTTAATAGGCCAGTCAGCCAGATCGTCACTATGGATATGCTTCACCTGTCATAGAAAATTGCAAGCTGGAAAAGTACCTGCAGAAGCAAATATGAAAAATTTACAACTACATGAAGTTCCAAAAGAACTTGCCAATCTGAACAATTTAGAACAGCATTTGATTGCATTGAATATCCCTTTTATGAAGTTAATGGCCTTGCCTAAAGGTGGTCAAAATGGAGTCCATGGCCCAGTCGTGTGCGTGCCTTCAAACACTTATGAAACAGTAGATATGTTGCCAAGACCACAGACTGAAGATCAATTGATCCGTGTTAAACTCAAACGAAAATTGTCGTACAAAAGCTATTATGAGTACAAATTTGTAGATAAATCTAACTTGCTTAATGCTCTGCAGTATTTAAAAGCAAATAATAAGTGGTATTTTGATGTTACAGTAAATGATAAATGGGAAAACTCACTTGAACGAAATGAAAAAGATAATGAAAAGGAAGAAGCAGTGGAAATTGGTGGTAAAGCTCGTTTAGCAAAATATTGGAAGGAAATGGAAGAACAAATTGATAACATTTTGTCCAAAGACAAAAATGCTAATGAAAACATGCAAGACAACAGTAAACTACAACAAAAAATAGATGACAAAGACACTGAAGACGATATGGAAGAACGCTTACGTGGTATTCAGTTAGACTCATGTCTCCAGCCAGTAGATATTGGACAGGAAATATTAGATCAGTATTTTGAAGACATAATATGTTGTGCTCCTTGTGAAGGAAGAAGCCCTGTATCAATTCTACAAGATGAAAGCAATGAGGCCAAATGTTTCCCAGTATTATTTCCTAAAGGTCAACCAACATTCCATGATAGAAGAGATGAAAAAATAACATTAGGACGTTATCTGCATAACCGACTGATGCACGTGGACAATAGATTTGCTCAGAATACAGATTACATCTTTTATGCACAATATATTTATGAAATTCAACAGGTTATATCACAAGTTTCTATCGCTTTAAGGCAAAGTCCAAACAAAAAAGATGATTCGTCTTCAATAACTGCCTCAGATTTGAAAGATGCAGAGAAAGTTAAAAAAATACTAAAATCAGACAAGGGCTATAAATTTTTAAAGCAAATTCGTGGAACACCTCCATTCTGGCAAAAGACACAAAAAGATGTTCTTGCAATGGTACGACAGCTTGGAAAGCCGACATGGTTTGCTTCTTTCTCATCTGCCGATATGAGATGGCCAGAATTAATGAATACATTGCTTAGACAAAAAGGAGACACCAGGGAATCGAGTGAATTAGACTATACAGAAAAATGTAATCTTTTAAGATCAAATCCAGTAACAGTTGCCAGAATGTTTGATAAAAGATTTCACACTTTTATGAAGAGAGTTATTTTATCTCCCGCTGCACCGATTGGTAAAGTAGTTGATTCATTTTGGAGAGTAGAGTATCAAGCCCGTGGTTCCCCTCACATTCATGCCTTGTTCTGGGTTCAAAATGCTCCACAGTTGGGTATCGATAAAGATGATGATGTCGTACAATTCGTAGATAAATACATTTCTTGCCAAAAACCGGATGAAAAGGAAGATCGAGAACTGCATGAAATAGTAAGCAAGGTCCAACAACACAGTAAAAAACATTCTAAATCTTGCACAAAAACAGGGAAGGCGTGTAGATTTAATTTCCCGAGACCACCATCTGAAAAAACAATTATTGTAACACCTGTTGAAGAGATTCCAGCTAAAGATTGTGGGAAAGTGCAACATAAGGGAAAGGACAATGATCAAGTTAAAGCTTCTGAAAAGACTAAAGATGATGCAGAGAAATTGTTGAAGTCAGTTAAAGATGCATTATCCAATGGAATCGAGTACAACAGTGTAAACCATCTCTTTGAAAAGCTTGGCATTACACAAAATCAATTTGAGAATGCACATAATGAATTTGCATCACAACAAAGTATAATCATCAAAAGAGAAATACAAGATGTATGGGTAAATCAGTTTAATCCAAGTCTACTAAGAAGCTGGAATGCCAACATGGATTTGCAGTTCGTAACAAATGTATTTGCATGCGTGGCTTATATTGTATCCTACATGTCAAAAGCTGAACGAGAAATCGGAATGCTATTGAGTCATACACTATCAGAAATGAAAGAGGGAAATGAGGACGCAAAGGAAAGCATGAAAAAACTTGGCCAGGTGTACATGCAAAATCGTGAAGTGTCCGCTCAAGAAAGCGTCTATCGTGTTTGCAGTCTCAGATTGAAAGAATGTTCTAGGAAAGTGGAATTCATTCCTGTTGGACCCGACCCTGTCAGAATGAGTTTACCATTAAGTGTTATAAAAAGCAGACCAGCTAACGATAATGATGATGATGAGAATGGTTGGATGCCTAGCAAGCTCGACAGATACAAAGCTCGACCTAAAAACGCAGAATTCAGTAATATGTGTCTTGCAACGTTTTGTTCTCAGTATAGAATCTTAACTGCATCCCAAACGCCAAGTACAAGAAGTAAAAATGTCTTTAAATTAGAAAACGATCTGGGATATATTCAGAAGCGTACTCATACGGGAGATGCAGTTGTAAGATATCCCCGATTCTCACCCATCATCTCACCCGAAAAATATTATTTGAGCATTTTGCAACTCTTTCTGCCATATTTTGAAGATGGACAATTAAAGCCCCCAACATTTGAAACACATGAAGAGTTCTACGAGACAGGTTCTGTGAAAATATGTGGACGTGAATTGGAGAAAGTCTGGTCAATTGTCTGTACTAACCGAAAGAAGTTTGAAATGAATGCCGATGCAATTGATCATGCACAGGAGCATCTTGACAAATTTGGTCCACACGAAGATGCATGGGGTCTTTTATGTCCGGAAAAGGAAGTAGAGCGACTTGAACATCCCAAAGAAAATGTAGATGTCGAAGATTGTGATGGAGATCTTGATATCCCAGATTTAAAGAATGAACCGAAAAAAGATGACTATAGCATCGAACTACGTTCAGTAAAAATTTCCAAACAAGATGGACATTCTTTGATGAGGTCTTTGAATGAGAAGCAACAGAGTGTTTTTTACAAAATACGACAGTGGTGTTTAGATAGAGTAAATGGAAAATCGGTCGAACCGTTTCATATGTTTCTAACTGGAGGTGCTGGCACTGGAAAGAGTCATTTGATCAAATGTCTTTACTATGAAGCAACACGTATACTAGCCCGAATGTTGCAACATCCTGATGATGTCTCAGTATTGAAAATGGCTCCAACCGGAGTAGCTGCATACAATATCAATGGCCATACTATACATAGTATTCTTTCTATTCCAATCAATGCACAAGTACTGTATCAACCGCTGAGTGATGAGAAAATAAGTGTCCTTCTAAATAAGCTGGCTGAATTGCAAATTTTAATCATAGATGAAGTATCAATGGTAGATCAAAAGATGATGTCTTACATTCACGGCCGCCTACGACAAATAAAACAATCACGCGATCAAACTGCTTTTGCTGGTGTTTCAGTTATTGCTGTGGGAGACATGTATCAGTTACCTCCAGTCTTAGGAACTCCTTTATATAAAGACACACTCAATGGTGCATTGTGGAATGCTAATTTCAAGAAAGTAGAACTTGAAGACATTATGAGACAAAAAGACGATACCCAATTCGCTTTTCTCTTAAATAGATTACGTGTAAAACAAGGGGAAGAGATTCTCTGTGATGAAGACCTAGCAATGCTCAAGTCCTGTGAGACTGGTGAAGAATGTGAAAATGCTCTGCATATCTATGCATGTAACAATCAAGTAGATGCTTGGAACAAGAAATTATTGCATAAAAAATGTGGAGATGTGATATGCGTAAAAGCACAAGACATGGACAAAGATGTTAAAAAAGGAAATCAAATACGGGAAAAACCTTATACAAAGATGAAAACCCAGTTGCCTCCTTATCTGTGGATTGCAGTTAATGCTAGAGTGATGTTGCTCAAAAACATTGATGTTAGTAAAGGCCTGACAAATGGATGTTTCGGAAATGTAACAGAAATAATAACGGATCATACAAATTTGAATCCGGTTTGCATCAAAGTTAATTTTGAGAAGGCCGATATTGGTATTCATTCAATCGAAATGTCTCAAGAATCCATTGGTAAGAAATATGTGAGAAAACAATTTCCACTTAAGCTTGCTTATGCTTGCACAATTCATAAAGTACAAGGTTCGACATTAGACAAAGCTGTTGTATCATTAAAAAATGTGTTTCAATCTGGACAGGCATATGTTGGGCTTAGTCGCGTTACTTCGTTATCTGGACTTGTGATAGAACATTTCGATCCTAAACGTATATATTGTAATCCAGAAATTAAAGAACGCATTGAGATTATGAAGCCGTTTATCGAGAATGAAACTTCTGAAGATATTCACGATTATAACTTTTCTTTGGTAATGCAAAATGTACAAGGATTAAAACAGCATTTTACTGATTTCAAATCCCAGTGCCAATTTGTGAATGTAGATTGTATTTGCTTGACCGAAACATGGATTAATGATGATGATCTCTGTGACGTTATTTTAGATAACTTTCGATTTTATCATCAGCCACGACATCTGTCATACTGTAATTCTGGAGTTGGAAATGTACTCAAAGAACAATCGCACGGAGGTGTTGCAATGTATATCAAGAATACATATTCAAGTAGATTAAACATATCTGTCGACAACTTAGAGTTTATCGCAATTCTTGTCACCAAACCAGTTTCTGTTGTGATTTCAGTTGTTTATCGACCTCCATCATATAGTATCAAATCATTCTGTGAATCATTAGACAATTTGCTAGATGCATTACACAAAAGAAGCATTAGGTGTATTGTGATGGGAGATTTTAATGAGGATTTGTTTAAAGGTTCTTCACAGGTAAACAGGCTAATGTGTAATAAAGGTTACAAACAGCATGTTGTTAATGCTACTACTGAGAAGGGAACATTGATAGATCATGTGTACAGCAAGGGACTAGATTTATTGGAAACAGAGGTCATCCCTACATATTATAGTTACCATGAAGCTGTTAAGATTGCATTTTGATATTTATTGTAAGGCCAAATAAAAAAATAAAACATGTTTAGCGTCCTGTTTTTTCGAAAAAAAGGAAGGAGGCCCTTTACACCTGGAGTAATTTGGCAATTCTATGACATATCTTTTTGCTTTGAAAATGTTACATTGGGGTTTGCATAGACAGAATACTTTTTAAGTCAAATGCTTTCATTAATAATGTTAACACTTTTAAAAAAGAAACATTTAGTACTGTTTATATTCCTAATCTTCAAATGATTTTGTTTATTTCACTTCTTCAGATAACTTCTTCAGATGACTGCAAAGCGCAACATTGCAAAGCTCATTTCTACAACCCTAGTCACCAATGACAGTGCACCACCATATCCCTTTGCTCACCAGTTCAAACAAACTACCGCCCTCGAGTCAGAAGGCTGTCCTCATCATCCAACACACAGCGGTAACATCACCCAAGGACTTGAGCCCTCCGGTGATACCTGGTTCAGCAAAGACTAGGCCTTGGGGAGTGTTTACGGCTCTGTCATCATAACAGCATTGTGGCAGAAGTATGGAACACCAGCATATACAGGGTAAGGAAAGATTACCAAACTAAAATGTTTGAAAAAGCCTAACCCTACTGTACTGAGTTATTTCAAGCTCCTCCGGATAGATGGTTGACCTCGGCCACTACACTGTTGATTCCCACAAAATTGGCACACCTGGAGTAAATTGGCAATTCTATGACATATCTTTTTGCTTTGAAAATGTTACATTGGGGTTGCATAGACAGAACACTTTTTATGTCAAATGCGTTCATTAATAAGGTTAACACTTTTAAGAAAGAACAATTCAGTACTGTTCATATTCCTAATCTTCAAATGATTTTTTTTAATTTCACTTCTTCAGATAACTTCTTCAGATGACTGCAAAGCACAACGTTGCAAAGCTCACTTCTACAACCCTAGTCACCAATGACAGTGCACCATCATATCCCTTTGCTCACCAGTTCAAACAAACTACCGCCCTCGAGTTAGCCTATCCGATAGGCGTCGGGCTAAATGGCAAGTGTACTAATCGCGTTTGGGAGACTGATATCGGCGCGGGCGTCAGCCCGAGCGCCTATCATCACTGGTCAACTCATCATTATTCATATATGTGTATCGTATGTGTGACGAGCGTATTCCATGTATGATTCATAAGACTAGCCTTATTTGGTGATCGATCACTTTGATTCAACCAATCAAATATCATCTCCGCGTTCCCCATCGCTCATTGGCCTATTTTGGTCTATGCTACATAAATATTCATGAAAGAGCTTTGCAGGGGGTTCATAGATTTTCTACGAACGAAACATGGTACATAAAAGAAAATAAAACTTTTCGTACGGACCAGTGATGATAGGCGCTCGGGCTGACCGTGCCGATGTTACGCTCCATATAAACGCGATTAGATTGCTTGTAAAGCCCGACGCATATCGGATAGGCTACCCTCGAGTCAGAAGGCTGTCCTCATCGTCCAACACACAGCGGTAACATCACCCCAGGACTTCAGCCCTCCGGTGATACCTGGTTCAGCGAAGACTAGGCCTTGGGGAGTGTTTACGGCTCTAGCTGTCACCAAAACAGCATTGTGGCAGAAGTATGGAACACCAGCATATACATGTAATGTATCGGGACCTTCACAGGGTAAGGAAAGATTGCCAAACTAAAATGTTTGAAAAAGCCTAACCCTACTGTACAGAGTTATTTCAAGCTCCTCCTGATAGATGGCTGACCTCGGCCACTACACTGTTGATTCCCACAAAATTGGCACACCTGGAGTAAATTGGCAATTCTATGACATATCTTTTTGCTTTGAAAATGTTACATTGGGGTTGCATAGACAGAATACTTTTTATGTCAAATGCGTTCATTAATAAGGTGAACACTTTTAAAAAAGAAAAATTCAGTACTGTTCATATTCCTAATCTTCAAATGATTTTTTTTAATTTCACTTCTTCAGATAACTTCTTCAGATGACTGCAAAGCGCAACGTTCCAATGACAGTGCACCACAATATCCCTTTGCTCACCAGTTCAAACAAACTACCGCCCTCGAGTCAGAAGGCTGTCCTCATCATCCAACACACAGCGGTAACATCACCCAAGGACTTGAGCCCTCCGGTGATACCTGGTTCAGCGAAGACTAGGCCTTGGGGAGTGTTTACGGCTCTGTCATAACAGCATTGTGGCAGAAGTAGCCTCGATCTCGACCAAGACATTTTGAATGCCACTCTGTATGGCTCAGCATCCTTTTTTTTCTTTATTCATACTAACGTGTGTTCATGTCCATTTTTCCACCTATGATTCTTACATTTATTTTCTGATACCATGTTTCTGCGTGATTTTAGTCTTATTTTTACTGGTATGACAATGTAAACATATACCTTTGTTCCACACAAGATATTTTGGGATTTTGTGTGCACTTCCATGTAACTACATGTATTTTTATATGATAGTTTTTGTTTCTGATTGTTCAATTCCTTTTACGCTCTCATTCCTTTATAGTTGTATCTTATTTGAGACAGAGGAAGAGAGAGGGTGAATAGTAGAGAGAGAGAGAGAGGGGGGGGGGGGGGGGGATGCAGAAACAAAGCGCCATTCATGATGTATTTTATTACATTTGTGTTTTAACTTTGCACATACATTGCAAGATTTCGGGGATTTAACACGTTTATTTTTCTGTAAGTTTGTAAATCCTTGTATTCACACAGTGTTTTGAGTGATATATTGTAAAGATAGATCTTATGCATGCTCCTTGGGAAAAAAAGTTATACATGCTTGTCACTCTTCTTATCTTGGCATTACCGTAATTCTTATATTGGTTGATGTTGCTGATAATACATGAAACAGAATCTGATGGATATCATTGATAACAGTTACTGTTTGTCTTCTTTTTAACATCAGGATAACAGATCTTATTAGTACAGCGAAAGACAATTCACTGTAATTTGTTATATTTTCATATATTACACGATTATGATTTTCAATGGCACATGTTTGTACACTACAATTTTATGTCATTAGAGGTCACATATCCAGTTTGTTTCGTGAATAGTCAATATTGGATTATGAATATAATGTCAGTTTATTTGCAACATTTACCCCATATATAGTGGTACCTTACGATCAACTGTCAATATCTACTGCATTCACTATACATAGCAGTGTCTTGCTTGCTGTAACAAAGAGGTATATAAGGCTGTTAGGGATTATCCATAATGTACATTGTTTTTTAGTTTTATTGTTATTGTGTTTATCTGAACTTATATCTCACTTCCTATGTAGGGGGCCTTTCATATAATCAGTAGGTATCTTGTTTATGTACCTGTTTTATATATGTATTCCATTTCTGTTGAATATAGATACATGTTAAAATGCCCTTTTCAGAGATTTGTACAATGCTGCTCTTTTCAGTATGTGCTTTTATTTTGGTATATCAAATTTAATTGGATATGCTGTTTTTAATTTTTTTTTTTTTTTTTAATGTGTTCGAAGATGATAGGTGATTACCATTTGTAATATTGCATTGCGGTTCTTTTTTAGATCGCCAAGGAAATAGCATGATGTTAAGTTTGGTGCAGAATGTCATTTACATGCATGTAGATAGGTCTATGCAATTTAGTTTTGACTTTGGTTTGATAAGCTTAATTGTTTAGTGCTTTGAACATGAATTTAACAATGAATAGACCTGTTTACTAATGTACTTTATTTCACGTTTCTGTCTATAGTACATGGTAGGGGTAAAAAAAGAATACAAAGGTTAGAAGGAAAAGTTAAAGAAGATTGGGGAACACTGGAAGACATAATAGAGGGAGAACGAGAGTCAGAGGCGGAAAAGGGAGAGGGTGAGAGAGTATAACAAAAGAGAAGGGCGGAGATAGATCGAGACATCGCAAGAGAGACAGAGGGAGGCAAGGAAGGGAGAGGGTGAAGAGTAGAGAGAGAGGGGGATGCAGAAACAAAGCAAGAGAGAGGGGCAGAACAAGAGAGGAGAAGGGGAATATAGCAAGAGAGAGGAGAAAGAGAAAGAGATGCAATCGAGGCACTCTACTAGCATAAATAGATTTGAATATTTACTATATAGAGAAAGGGAGAAGTTATAGACAATCATGATGATGATGAACATGAAGGTGATGATAATGTTAGATGATGATAATAATGATAATGTTAATGATGATGTTGATCATCAGACCATCACGATGATGATGATCATGATGATATTGATGATGATGATCATGAGCGTGATCCTGATATCTGATTGAAAAAAATGAGGGGACATTTAGATAGCATATAGTCTCAGCTACAACATGCTCAAAAATATTTTAAAAAACAAGCGGAAATAACGGCGATATTGCTCTCAAAGGAATGTAGAATCCAGATTTGAGAAAAAGTCATCTCCCATATAGAAAAAGAGAGAAATTATACCGATATCTACATGTAAACAATGATCATAATGATGATGATGATGATCTTGATAGTAATGATGATGATGATGATTATAATGATAATGTTAATGATGATAATGAGCGTGATCCTGACATCTGATTGAAAAAATGAGGGGGACAGTTAGATAGCATATAGTCTCAGCTACAACATAGTAAAAAATCAACAAAAACGGAGCGGAAATAACGGCGATTATTATTGCTCGCAAAAGACAGGAATTTAGAATCCAGATTTCAGACCATGATGATGATCATCATCATCATTATGATCATGATGATGATCATGAGCGTGATTCTGACATCTGATTGAAAAAATGAGGGGACATTTAGATAGCATATAGTCTCATGCAGCTACATATGTACTCCAAAATGAACAAAAACCAGGCGGAAATAACGGCGATATTGCTCGCAAAAGACAGGAATGTAGAATCCAGATTTGAGAAAAAGTCATCTCCCATGGGGATTACAGGCGAAAAGTAATGGATCAAGTGATAATAGGGTAATAATAAAGTAAATATGGTTGTTTATTACATTATTTGCGATTCTACGTGTAGTTATGTGATATTTGCTATGTATATCCATCAGAAACTTGTCTGTACAAAACAGTGAAATACTGCCCTCTCCGGCAGAATAAAGTAAGCTTAGCAACGAGCATAATGGCGTATACTTCTAGCAGTATTACTTTCGTATTTATGGACATATAATATACGACACTACGTGTTTTAAAATTCAAAGGAGATTGCACAGTGAAAGGTCAAAATGAAAAAAAAGTGAAGAAAAATATTGGTAAAGACGCCCGGACTCGAACCAGGGGTCTCAAGGTCGGAAGTCAAGTGCGTTACCGATATACCAAAACATTTCCCATAGCGATTACACGTAAACGGAAAATGGAATTCGCAAATCCAACTTTGCAAGTGAAATATGAGCATGATCCCGGCATCTGATAAAAAAATAAAGTAGACATTTGTGATAGCTGATTGTCTCAGCTACATCATACTCAAAGCTCAGCGAAAACGAAACTAAAACAACGGAGATATTGCTCGCGAAAGACGGGAATGTAGAATCCAGTTTTGAGAAAAAATCATGTCCCATAGAGAATACACGCAAAATGTTAAAAATTGACATGCCCCCTTTAATCGCAAATTACGCAATGATCCATTTGTCAAAATGAAAAATTGTGGCAACTGCATTTGTAGAAAATTGTCTCAGCTAGAACATATCAAAATTTGGAAGAAAATCGGTCAACATTTACAGAGATACAATCAATTTTCCAAAAATATGCTGACGTCAAAATATGCAAATTGAAATTTTGAGTTCGGAGGCCATTATGATGACGTCATGAGTTAATTGAGGGTCAAATGAGACATGAAATCATATCTCCAATTCATACTCTATCAAAATATGAAAACAAAATTGGGATCACCTTGCATCCTTAAGCGCTACAATGGATTTTGTATAGGCATGTTTTTGCCCATGTATGCTATGTATTACAAGAGCTCGCACGCACGGAAATTATCTTAAACGGACGCTCATTCCCTTATTAATGGGCAGAAAAAGGTGAAAAAGGTATCAAAATGCTTGGGAAAATGTGCCAAATACGATGACAGAGAAAATTTGGCGATTCTATGTTGAAAAATACCAGTACGCGCGAAAACGTGCGCGCATGTGCGTGCGCGCGTTTTTTTGCAAAATGCTTAGAATGGCCTGAAACGTATGCAAAATGAATTTGGGACGATTTTGAGCATTTTTATTTTTTGCGCGCGCGCTATCGCGCGGACGTACGCATGCGCGTGCGTTTTCTGACTTGAAATTGACCGGACGGATATTGACCTTAATCATGATAAATATGAATGAGAAATGCCTTTTTGTTATGAAGATATGATCATGAGTAAAAAGTACCAAAAAAAACACAAAATGGCGCCTGGATGACGTCATGAAGACTTGATGACCTTGAAAATGTTACACTGACGTCTCATGACAATGACCTATGACGGTGCCAAAATTGAACGAAATTGATTAAACCGATCTTGAGTTATCCTGTTCACAAAAAAGTGGGAACAATAAATAAAAATAAAGAATAATAAATAATAAATAAAAATAATAAAGAAAGAAAATTCTGACGAAAACAATAGGTGGTCTGTTGATAACAGACCACCTAATAATAAAGAAAGACTAGAAATTTAATTCGTCATGGGGACGAATTAGGTGGTCTGTCTTGAATTGATGGATGAAGTACTGATGAACTGATAGATTGAACTGATGTGAAATGAACTGAATCGATGAGCTAAAAGGATGAACTGATAAACTGAACTAAACTGATGAACGAAATATTGAGAAATTATCTACATGATGAATCATGATCAAATTTAATGCAAACAAATATCAAAATAAGTAGTTCTAATGAATATGACACAAAGTATTGATAAATGAACTACTTGATCGTGATCATGATTGTCATGATGACGATAATGATAATCATGATGATGATCATGGTCATGATGATGATGATGATGATAATGGTGATGAAGATGACGATGATGATGATTATGGTGATCATGATGATCATGATGATCATGATGATCATGATGATGTTGATGGAATGATTATCATCATAATGACAATGATGATGATCATGAGCGTGATCTTGGAAGTATTGGAAGAATGAGGGGTGATTTAGATAACATATAGTCTCAGCTACAACATACTCGAAAATCAACATAATCCAAGCAGAAATAATGTCGATATATTGCTCGCAAAAAACAGGAATGTTGAATCCAGTTTTGAGAAAAAGTCATGTCCCATAGAGAATACACGCAAAATGTAAAAAATTTACATGCCTCCTTTAATCGCAAAAATACGCCATGATTCCTTTGTCAAAATGAAATATCGTGGCTACTACATTTGTAGAAAATTATCACAGCTAAAACATATCAAAATTTGGAAAAAAAATCGATCAATATTTACAGAGATACAATCGATTTTCCAAAAATATGCTGACGTCATAATATGTAAATTCAAATTTTGAGTTCGGAGGCCATTACGATGACGTCATGTGTTAATTGAGGGTCAAATGAGACATGAAATTATATCACCGATTCATACTCTATCAAAATATTTAAAAAAAAATTGAGGTTACCTTGCATCCTTAAGCGCTACAATGGATTTTGTATAGGCATGTTTTTGCCCATGTATGCTATGTATTACAAGAGCTCGCACGCACGGAAATTATCTTAAACGGACGCTCATTCCGTTATTAATGGGCAGAAAAAGGTGAAAAAGGTATCAAAATGCTTAGGAAAATGTGCCAAATATGATGACAGAGAAAATTTGGCGATTCTATGTTGAAAAATACCAGTACGCGCGAAAATGCGCGCGCATGTGCGTGCGCTCGTTTTTTTGCAAAATGCTTAGAATGGCCTGAAACGTATGCAAAATGAATTTAGGACGATTTTGAGCATTTTTATTTTTTGCGCGCGCGCTGACGCGCGGACGTACGCATGCGCGTGCGTTTTCTGACTTGAAATTGACCGGACGGATATTGACCTTAATCATGATAAATATGAATGAGAAATGCCTTTTCGTTATGAAGATATGATCATGAGTAAAAAGTACCAAAAAAAACACAAAATGGCGCCTGGATGACGTCATGAAGACCTGATGACCTTGAAAATGTTACACTGACGTCTCATGACAATGACCTATAACTGTGCCAAAATTGAACGAAATTGATTAAACCTATCTTGAGTTATCCTGTTCACAAAAAAGTGGGAACAATAAATAAAAACTAGATTTGTAATACTTGTTTGGAACAAGTATAGGTGGGCTGATCCAACAAAAAATTGAGACAAAATAAAGGGTACATTTGAGATAGCTTTTTGTCTCATCTACAACATACTCGAAGTTCAGCGTAAACGAAGCTAAAACGACGTAGATATTGCTCGCGAAAGACGGGAATGTAGAATAGAGTTTTGAGAAAAAGTCATATCCCATAGAGAATACACGCAAAATGTAAAAAATTTA